TTCACAAATCACAGATTTGTGTAATTCTTGTACAGTTATGACAAATAATGAAAATATACCATATATTACAGTTGTTATAACAGAAAAAAACCTACATTGCGACAACTGAACATTAAATTTATCAAAGAGGTAAATAAACTAACAGAGGATAACTTGTGTCACATCTGTTCAAATAAACTTGCAAGAACAATAGAGTATGGACCACATATATGTTTTAATTTGATTAATTTGAACAATTCATCAGCAAGTAATTTTACCGATACACATATTCAGTTAAACCATGTACCAAAGTTTTTAAAAATAAATGATACTGATTTTTATTTACGAGGACTGATAAGTACACCAGATAACCAACAGCATGCTAGTTCCCATGAAATTCTGGGACATTATCATGCGCATACATACAGACATCCCATGAATGTGTGGCAACTATATGACAATTTAAAAGAAAAAGTTACACGAAGTGTAAATGAAACCACAAAAGTGAATGTACAAATTGTGATGTATTCTCAATAAAATTTTTTTAATTCATCATTAACTTCTCTGTAAAAACACATTCTTCTGTAAAACCTATAAAATATAATGAAATTTATTAGTTATACTATTGACTTATTTTTAATACGTTCCATTTTAGTTAGTTCAATATATATAAAAGAGTTTTAATTTTTTTGTAAAAATATGAAATATATTTTTAATTATTTATTTGAATTTCCGTATGACAGTAGCAAATAACATTTACTAAATTATTCAAACGTAATACTACTATTTTTTACGATATCTCGGAAAGTAAGTGTGCACAAACGATGGGACCTTGTGCACATTTCTGCACAAACGGTGCACAAACGAATGAGATATTAAAAACTACGAAATTAAAAAAAGGGGGGGCTGCCGTTTCTGCGGCCCCCCAAATGTGTTTTTACGATATCTCGGAAAGTAAGTGTGCACAAACGACGGGACCTTGTGCACATTTCTGCACAAACGATGCACAAACGAATGAGATATTAAAAACTACGAAATTAAAAAAAGGGGGGCTGGAGAAATGGACCCTGAAAACTTGCCCCCTTTAAAATGGTCAATTGGAAGAATAATGGAAGTTCATAGTGGTTCTGACGGTGTCGTACGAGTGGCTACTATCCGTACAGCAACCGGTGTATACAAACGAGCTGTTCGTCAATTATGTCCATTACCTTTCGAGGGAAATTGTACAGCAAGTTCAAATAATTAAAAATGTTTAAAATGTATGTTTAGTAAATTATTTTAAAATGCTTATGATTTGGAAAAAATAACAATAGTATCTAGTCTAAATATTGTGATATAAATTCTTGTTTTTTTTTTTTATGTATGTAATGTATTATATATTATTTGTATTTCTATTATAAAATATGTTCATTGTTAAAGTGTCTTGCAGTTAATGTTTGTTGCTAAATATAGTTACCATAATTTTTATTATTTATTTATATATTAATTTAATTATTTGTAATTTATTTAAAGCATGATATGTTAGTTCTAAGTTATAATTATTTGTTATTTATCTGAGAATGTTTTACAGAATTATGGTTTATATTTTTGACCGTGAATGTGGGTCAATTGTTTGTCATAATCTTATTATTTATATGTACTTTATATTGATTCTATTGAAATGTGTTATTTCAAGGTAGGCGGTGTGTTCGCGCTCGTTATCGCGCTATTAAGAGATATCTATAATAATGATGGTCGACAACCAATATATGAAGTAGTTATGTCCGATCTACGTACGCGCGCGGACAAATCGCCAGCTTAAAAGTAAATTATAATAAAACGATACAGTCCACTATTTTTAATATTCGTATTTATCAATTATTTATTTATTTATTAAACATATTGAACCAGTTCGAAACAAGTATAAATATTTGAAATCTTCTCTATACTTCCTCGTAATATCTGGATCATCAGTTAATCCTTCTACTTGCGCTTGCACTTTCTAAAAATTATTCCATATCTCCACCCCCTTTTCTAGCCGAAGTGCAAGCTGCATCATCAATTTTGGCTGCATTACCTTCCATGTAAGTAGCAAAGCGTGTAACGCGGCCTTTCAATTTCCCTGTCTGCGAGATAAGACTCGCTAATTCAGCTATTGTATTTCTACACGCTAATAATAAGTTCGAAACGGAATTGCCTGTTAGCGTATTATTTCTTCGACACTATCGTTCTCTTCGCTCTAATATAATTTACGATGCCATCAAAAGTATTCGTACAAAATAGATTTTACGCACGAGTATTTTTAGGCAATCAAATTAACAAAACTGCATAAAAATTTGTATATATATATATATATATATTAGGGTGGCCCCCAAAAATCGAATGTCTTTTTTTTTTACGCTACCCCTTATTTTTTTTTTTAATGGTCAAAAAAATGAGCTGTGCAATATTTGGAACCGATCCATTAAGGTTAACCCGTGCTCGCGGGGCTATTAAGTTGAGTCGAAGAGGCAAGTTTAATAGAATTAACTGATCTATGTCTCATAACTCTTTTTTTGCTAAACTCAAATAAAAGAAATTTTACAAGAAATTCAAAAATAATAAATTCAATGATGTTTTCTTAATAAATAGCCCACAAAAACACTACATGCAGTAAAAAACATGTAAAAGTCTCAAAAATATGATATAACTGATTTTGTTGATTTTTACTTATTTATTTTCATTTTATTCTTTGGAAAATCTATATTCGTTTAAAAAAATATTATACAAGTTTAATTTTTTATGCCAAGTATGATAATTATATTAGATTTATTATTTTATGGACAGTTAATTAATGATTAATTACAAACCTAACAAAATTTATTGTATTATTACATTTTGTCGTATCAATGTATCAATTTTGGTTTACTGAATCACTTTAAGATAGTACCAATTATATTATTATTAAAGATAAGTATATTTGAGTAATTTTCGACAACTTGCATAAATTGTATGGTATAAATGCAACAGACAATTTGTGAACACGTTTAATCATATTTTACCTGTTTATTGTTATATATTAAATGATACGTTTTAGTCACAAAGATACACTATTTTTAAATGTCTTTTATAGTATTACGAACTAATATTTATCTTATTGGTAATTATTCCCACGAAATAACTGGTAGTAAGTTACCATCAAATTTACAAGTGCTGAAAACATTGTTTTTTAATTTAAGAGTAGTAAAATTAAGTGATTTAATTAATTAATTAAAATTAAGCCAGGTGTTATTCGTCATGCTCGATGGATGGCCAAGGCCATTTATAGCTTCAAAAAAAATATATATTTAGAGACGAATTTAAACTTACTAGCAGAGAAACACAAGGATTACGCGATGTTTGTTTGTTTTTGGTACTTGTTTATGTTTTATAACGTGGTTTACAGCAACTTCGGCGGTTGCAGCAACTTATAATGATTTGAATTTTGTTAAAAAATTGTACAACTATAGATTAATACAGTGAAATATCCCGAGTAGCGCTTTCTAAATTTGTAAATCACTTAAGGTACTTAAGTCCACTGTCCACGGGGCTGGCATTTTTTGATAATAAAATAGATGTTAATATTAAAAGAAAAATGGTC